TTATAAGAAAACAGGAGAACAAGATACAAAATGATAAAAATAGAGAGAGAAAAGATAATGGAGAGAGCGAGAAAAAAGAAAAAAGAAAAGACGTCTTACCAGCATCCATTTTGCTTGTCGTGCATTTGAGTCGTCAACTATCTCTTTGCACCCATCACAGCAGCACCTGCGGAAAAGGAAGAAGAATCCCGTAAAGAACTGCGTCTCTTTTCAAAGTCTGTGGTAAAAACGTAGAACAAAATGACAAACACACGGATGAGAGATTTGCCAACGTTATATTTCTCTTTTTACTAACGCAACACAAGATCAAACATGGAGGAAAAATTGATCAAAACAACTTTATAAACTTTATAAATAGCAAAACAGCAGCAAGAGCAACAATTACATAATAGTAACAACAACAACAACAACAACAACAACAATAATAATAATGATGATCATGACAATAATGATAATGTGAATGATGCTAGTAATGATGATGATGATTATAAAAAAGAAGAAGAAGAAGAAGAAGAAGAAAAAGAAAAGAAAAAAATACATTAAAAATATCACAGCAATTCCAATAACAATGAAAATAAAAATCATAAAAATAACAAAAACAACATTAATACTAGAAGTAATAATAATAATAATAATAATAATAATAATAATAATAATAATAATAATAATATAACAATAATATTCATAATAATATCAACAATAATAATAATAAATAATAATATAATATAATAATAATAATAATAATAATAATATTATTATTATAATATTCATAATAACAATAACAATGATAATAATAATAATAATAATAATAATAATAATAATAATAATAATAATAATAATAACAATAATAATTATAATATATAATCATCATAATATTAATAATATAATAACAACAATACAACAATAATATAATAATAACAATAAAACAATAATAAAAATAGTAATAATAATAATAATAATAATAATATAATATAATAGTAATAGTAATAATAATAATAATAATAATAATAATAATAATAATAATAATAATAATAATAATAATAATAATAATAATAATAATAATAATAATAATAATAATAATAATAATAAAATAATAACAATAACAATACAATAACAATAACAATAACAATAAAATAACAATAACAATAATAACAATAATATTAAAAATAAAAATACAATAATAACAATAATGGCAATAACATGAATAACAACAACAAAAAAAATAATTATAATATTTTTGTTATAATCCATTTGTTACAATGTCTAATCTTGGTGGGACAGGCTGTCTGTTTATATTGCTTCTAAATTGCCCACTGTGTGCAAGGAACGGCCGGGGTCACCATCCACTAGCAGCGTGCGGGATTGATCATGGGTCAGCAATTTGGCTACACAAGTCTGCTCTACCACAGCAGCATTGTAGCAGCAGCAGCAGCAATACTACTACTACTACTACAACTTCTAAATAATAATAAAAAATAATGGGAATAAACAATAACAACAAATAATAATAAACAATAATAAATAATAACAACAACAATGCTGCTGCTGCTACTACTACTGCTAATAACAATATAATGATAAAAATAATAATTAAAAAAAAAAAAATAATAATAATAAAAAGAGCAATGATGATGATGATGATGATGATGATGATGATGATGATGATGATGATGATGATAAAAACAAAAGAAAAAAATTAATAATCATTATCATTGTAATTATCATCATCATAACAATATCAACAATACCAATAACTCAAAATAACAACTTCAATAATAGTAAAAAAGCAAACAAACTGCGACACCAAAAAATACAATATCTCATGGAAGATCATCACGCAGCAGACAATACAAGCCAATTGAAGCTATCATATCTCACTTTATCTTTATCTAAACTGATTACAGTGGACAGACCATAAAAAAATATATATATATAAACAAAAATCCTTATCATTCAATTGTGTGTTTCGGCCCTTATGTGAGCGCCATCCAACACCCTGCGTAAATTGGATTTAATTCGGCACACAAACAGCTAACAAGTACCATGAGCTAGCTACTTTAATGACTTGCCCACCACTCACTCGTTATCTAATTCCTTGCCAATTTAACCCTGGTGGCACAACTCCTCTCAACTGGCTATCTCTAAATACAGAGATCTGTGCCTTTAGACTGGTATATAACTCCAGAACTTGTGAATTCACGGCTGAAAAATAATGTTGCTTCATAATGCTGTGTGCAGTGCACTCAAGAATAAGCATTAATGCAAAAATTACATTTTTTATTAGAAAGGACTCGGCAATAAACAAGTGTCAGAAGCTTCACCCTATTCATATTGACTAAGATACCTTTAATAACACAACCATTATTTTGTCCATGCGAATACACATACATACATACATACATACTAATACAGAGAGAGAGAAGAGAAGAGAGAGAGGAGAGAGAGAGGAGAGAGAGAGAAGAGAGAGAGAGAGAGAGAGAGAGAGAGAGAGAGAGAGAGAGAGAGAGAGAGAGAGAGAGAGAGAGAGAGAGAGAGAGAGAGAGAGAGAGGGGGGGAGGGAGAGGAGAGGGAGAGAGGGAGAGAGGGAGGAGAGAGGGAGGAGGGAGGAGGGAGAGGGAGGGAGGGAGGGAGAGAGAGAGAGAGAGAGAGAGAGAGAGAGAGAGAGAGAGAGAGAGAGAGAGAGAGAGAGAGAGAGAGAGAGAGAGAGAGAGAGAGAGAGAGAGAGAGAGAGAGAGAGAGACAGAGAGAGACAGAGACAGAGACAGAGACAGAGAGAGAGAGAGAGAGAGAGAGAGAGAGAGAGAGAGAGAGAGAGAGAGAGAGAGAGAGAGAGAGAGAGAGAGAGAGAGAGAGAGAGAGAGAAAGAGAAAGAGAAGAGAAGAGAAAGAGAGAGAGAGAGAGAGAAGAGAGAGAGAGAGAGAGAGAGAGAGAGAGAGAGAGGGAGAGGGAGAGGGAGAGGGAGAGGAGAGGGAGAGGGAGAGGGAGAGGAGAGGGAGGGAGAGGGAGAGGAGAGGAGGGAGGGAGAGGGAGAGGGAGAGAGATAATATAGATAGATAGATAGATAGATAAATAGATAGATAGACCAATAGATAACAAAATAGATATGTATCTTAGTCACCAATACAAAAATATCTTAAATGTGTTTCTTGTCTTATGGGTAGAACTAGAAGCAATTTCAAACCTTAAAGAGGTTTAAATCCACAATGGAACTATCATAAATATGTAAATTACAGATCAATCCTTGCATTTTCATTGCTCAATTTTGCATTACCACCATCCAATAATACATAATACATACATCGTAAAAATCCAAACTAGTCCTTAAGCCTGAGAGCAGATGTTTCAATAACCAACAAATAGGTACATGAAAACCTACCTATCATAATCACCCACATTCAAAGAGAAACTGCTAACTCATTCGTCAACTTCTTACAAGTCACTAGGAACTACGCCAAGATGACACGAGCTGCTCAGCCAACACTTCATTGATCCTTGTGGAATATCTACTAGTTACAACTTAGAGCAACACTCTTCATAAACAACTTAACAGTGACACTACATGCTGAACTTGATGCTGATACTGTCCACTAATTTGAATGAAATGTTTGTAAAAGCAAAGACTGAGTCATTTGCCTGATTCATAACTAAATTTAACTTTATCTGACAAACAATTTTAAGATAAGTCACAGGACTTGAATAGAAAAAATGTTTGTTTATTCTAACCAACATTTGGTAAGTTTTGTGATAGTGCTACTCTCATCTATGGAGCAGCTAATCAAAAATTTCAAAATAGTAAGCAAGAACACTCTTATTTAAGCCTAACCTACACATATAGTTATTACCTTTTATTTTTTTTTTTTATTCTTCATCTTTTGAGATACTGAATTCTACTTGTATTATCAATACCTCTGACATAATAAAAGAAAAAAAAAAACAAAAAAACACCACATCAATTCAACATGAAGTGAACAAGTAACATCAATCATAAAATATAAATCTGGCTTCCAATTAGGTTTATTATCCCATTACAAACAACAACAATAAGAGGCAAAAACTGTTCCATTGTCTGGGATGCAGTTCTACTATATCTACCCCTCCCTCATTAAAATAATTACAAGAAGTAAATACCATATAATTTTAAATAATAACTCAGTATCAGAATGAACACAAACACAAAGAATGTGTGTACAGAAATCAAATAATGGATAACCACAACAATAAAGGGAACAATCAACTGTATAATGTACTGCTCTTCTTAATATTCAGGAAACCATTGCACAAACAGACTCAAACTGGATGAATTACAGGGATGTAGAGCACTGGTCTATGGTCCTAGTTTTGAAATGCACAACCAATTAAGACTCAAACTGTCCTAGAACTTGCAAGCACCCTAAAATGAGGCATAGGGTTATGAATAGGTCAGAGCAGAGGGCAAAGACTAAGGATATCTAAAATTAAAGATAACAGCTGATTGCACCTCCCTTTTTTAAAGCTGATAAAAGATCTACTGAGGAGAGTCTTCATGTAAGAGAACAATCAACATTCAATTACCACATTTACAATATATTTTCACTGCGCAACAAGAAAGCAATCTTTGCAACTAATGTGTTTCTGTCATGCACACACACACATAAAAAAAGAGAATGCAAAGGAAATAGACAAGTTTGTATCATTCTTATTTCTTTAATGGTATGAATGTCTCGGAATATCCTCCAAACAAAATTGCACATACCTAATTTCAAATACTTGGAAAAAAGGAAATTACCTCTGAAGCAGCAAGCTTTAGAAATGATACATAAGTGCTATGGCATCTCATATAAATGAACTAAATCCTAATGACATGTATGAAGTGCAGTAAGCCTAAACGAAAGTATATAAAATAGTCAACACTTGTGAATCTAGTACATAAGATAAGAGAAAGTATATATGATAACGATAATGCACACACACACATTTCTTATCTATAACATATGTGGTAAATAGACTAACAGTACAATAGTAAATATGCAACTATTACTAACATATATCATTACTTAGCTTGTTTAAATGACAGCCTTTAAGTGATGTAAGTATAGCATAAATTTATAAAACTTATTACACCACTTTAATTTTACAATTTCAACTTGAAATATAGTACCAAATGTTTCATAAATACTACTGACAGATATGCACATCATCCACTGACTTATGCACAACTCAACTCTAATCCTCTGGAAATGCCCAAACAACTTCTACCATGTATGTGTGGACCTCTCTTGTAATTCAACATGAAAAAAGCCATTCCAAATTCTACTCTGCTAAAATACAAATAGTGTCCTTTGCTAGTGCAATGAAAAGGCCTCAAAAATCACTAGACTGCACTACTATCAAGACAGATGTAAGAAAGTTGGCTTTACATCACAGTTCAGAAGGTTCAAGGGAAGTCTGGATAGAGCACAACCGATGCAGTTATGATAAAAAATATATATATAAATATTTTTAAGACTACTGAGGCTTAGGCTGTTACACTAACAGCATATTTCACATGGTAGAATAAAATGAGATTATAGCTACATACAATTTAGTACCCTATAGAACTCCAAACTCATTGTAAAGGCAGAATATTCAGAAAGACCACTAAGCATGTCATAGAATTCCCCACATACATATTAATCAAATACTCTCAATAGGTGCTCAGCTGTGAATAATTCAGAGAATAAGTGTCAAAGAGCATTGCAGTATATCATTGCTAACAAAACCTGTAAATCCTGGATCATGGGAACTTTTTCAGATTACACCAATGCCTATTTATACAAAAGAACATTACCCCTAGACTTCAGTGTAAATAATAACATAATAAAATTTCAAGAACTGTCCAGTTTATCCTCTCATACTTATATCTATAGCATGCATTATAGCAATAACCAATGAATACAAACAATATCTCATTAGGTTGTTAAGGCAAGCCTTTCATTTTAGAGAGAGAGAGAAAAAAAAAATATTGACCCAAACCTATTTTACTTCATGAATAATATATCAGTTCCTAATGTAGAGTACTACGAAATCTAGGAAAAGTCCAGTACTTCTCAACATTTGCCACACAGACCTATACAAGCACTATCTACGACTATACCAATTTTTGAATGCAGCATCCCATTCCAAGAATATCTTCTTAGGTCATGTTACTTATTACACAATGCCTGGCCAAAATCAATTAAACAAACAATAAAATCAGACATTTCTAAGTATAACAAAAACAACCAAAACCAACGTACAACATTACTGCACACACCACCACATTTATTCTTTCTAAAATCTATCACACAAGAACACACCAGTCCATGTATCTCTACATTTACCACACGCACATACACAAAACAAACCATTATTTACCAGCCACATCACAATACACTTATTGCCATTACCTATTTTACACCTACCAAAACTACACTATCACAAATCATTATCAACTTCATCTACATTACAAAACACACCCGTCATTACCTCTTTTACATCATAACACCCTACCGTGAAACCAATTAGTAACACAACTAAATCATACACAAAAACAATGCTTTAAAATCAAAACAGTGACTGAGTCTATACTGATCAATACATTATACTAACATAAAAATATAAAAAAATAACTGATATAAATAGATATAAAAACATAAAAAACAATGCTTTAAAAATACGAATTGTGATGGATTCTATACAGATAAATCCACTAGACTTCACTGATATATATGAACAATTATTAAGAAAATAGAAAAGTCTTAAAAAGCAGAATAGCAACTGATATTATACTGATCATTCCACGCACCATAATCCTTAGACTGTAGCCATAATAAATGTCAAAATGCTAAACAGACACTGAAATGTCATTCATAACTTTCCTTAGATGGCATTCAAATACATATGTAAAATGACAATCTAGTAACAACTTTGCAAAAGTAAATATTACTTTTACTGTTATTATCATTATCATCATCATTATTTCATTTCAGGTAACATTATCATGTCTCATTATTATCACAGTTATCATTTATTATTATTATCATTATTGTTATCATTATCATAATTATTGTTATTATCATTATTACTGTTATCATCATTAATATTACCATTATCTTTAAAACTATTAGTAACATTATTATTACTATCCTTATTACTATTACTACCTTTATTTTTTATTATTATTATTATTATTATTATTATTATTATTATTATTATTATTATCATTATTATTATTATCATTATTATTATTACTATTATCTCTAATTCTATAATTATTACCAATATCACTATTCCTATGATTACTAATTATATCATTAATGTATATTATGATAAAAAACATAATATGCTCTCATTAACACTGTCATCAATAACATGATCATCTACATTACTATCATTTTCATCATCATTACAATCATTATTACCATTCATGTTGCAGTTACTGTTATTACAATTATTACAGATATTCCTGTTAACATTATCATTTCTTATCACCGCAATAATTGT